AGCAAATGACATGTAGCTCTCAACTTCTCCATTCTCAAATTTTCCCGTTGCAGCTGTTTGCATTATCTGATCCTCTGGACTCTTACAACACTATTACTGATCTTGTCGAGATTACCACAATGCCCTTTAAGATTGGAACAAAACGGTGCCTATTGGTGATCACTTCCCCCTGTTCGGTTTTGATATGTAGGAGAATTTTGAGTTGACGTGGGACTTGGATGCTGACTTAGAAGACACGTAGGATTAGTAAGTGTGTGCTGCTGTTTTGTTCAGGTCTTACTGTGTAGGTTCGTAGTAATTAGAGGCTGTGCCGTGCATTTGGGAGTTGTTTAGAAATTGTTTATCTTCTTCGTCCTGTACTATTCTCTGTAACCCTATTGGGAGAATATAATTTTCTGATTCAGACCATTATATTAAGGAATATATTGAAAGTCTTTCTTTCATTTTCTACTAAATTTTCCTTGTATTTTCTTTAGAGAAATTTATCGAGAGCTAAATGGGGCTTTGCTTATTTTTCTCAGCTATCGTTCATCTTATCAGTATCAGGTTTCGGTTTCCAGTATTGTTTTTCTTCTTCCTTCTGCAACACAGAGCATACACAGAGACCCTTCCTTCTCTTTCAATGGCGTCTTCCTTTTAGTCTCTCTCCTCCATACCTTACTTTGCGGTTCGCATCAGAGTGCAGAGATTGTTCTGCTTCAATTGTCTGCGGTTCTTCTATTCGATTCCGCGCGCTTCGTGTTCAAATCCTTACCGCTTTCTCGAGCCAAAGAAGTTTCTCTTTCAGTCTCACTAGAGGCTTCTCCGACTCTCACCATCTTCCTCCCTCTAGCAAGCTCGACGGGCCCTCTGTTCAGCATTTCATCGCCCAGGCCTCCCTCACTGCTTCTGAATCACAGCCTCCTAAGTAAGTATCAGTTTCTGTGCAAAGGCAGTATGTTAGTTTTATTTTGTTTGCTTATTCGTTTCTTACTTGTTTCTTCTTTGTTTGCTTCGTGTGCGGTTCAATCTAAAAGCTTAAGCTGTTTGATTGTTTGGCGTATGAGATTTTCTTTGATGAGAGAACTCAACGGAAGTGAAAGATTCAATATTTCTAATTTTTTTTCCTGCCAAAATTCAATCTTCCTGTTTGATATATTATGGTAGGCAGAGATGTTTGGAAGAAAGAGATTGTAAATTGTGAAACATGGGTAGCCTAGGGATATTAGGGAATATAAGTAACTACATTAGATGGATGGTGAACAATGCCTGGGTGGAACTGGGTATAGTATACGAGAGAACACTGTTAAACATGTGGTAAAGCCAAGTCTTCACAGAAAGACCCAGAAAACTGGAGATAAAGTCCTAAATCTTTAACGAGTTCTTCCTTTGTTGATGAAAAAAATAGCACTTTTCAGTTTTCACTCACAATTTGACATGTAAAGTTCTTGAGTTTAATTTCTGTTATGGTAGCTGCCGCACTACGAGTTATGAGTGAAGTGTTTGCATACGAAGTCTTGGGTTTTCTTTCAGAAAAACTTTATGTTTTTGAAAATTGCACTCTAAATAATATAGAAATCATGCTTTCTCCTCTTGTGATTTTTTGTCTGTCTAATCTTCTGCAAATGTCTACCGCATTCAACGTCAAAAGATTGTATTAATCATGAGACTTGTGAATGTCGAATGAATATCAACGATGAAACCCAACACAGACCACTCAGAAATAATGCACCAGGGACAGAATATTTTCATGTCATTTTCAAAAACTATGCATAGCATGATATCTTCTTCTTCTTCTTCTTCTATTTTTACATTAGCAGAAAAAGAATAAAGAAAAAACAATAAGAGTAAAAAAGCAATAAGTTCCAGAATATCACACAGAAAATGCTTTCCTGTTTTTTGTTTCCATTTATTCAAATTAGCAAATATGAGAATCTTACATGTTGCTATGTTTTGATTTTAAATTAAATTTACATCAAATTATTGCGTAGAATCAGAGGCAATGATCTTTATTTGACAAATCAGATATTTCTAATTGACCTGTTTGGCCCTTCTTTCCTTGTTTCAACTTAATCATGGTCCATCATACCTAGGCATATTGTAAACTATTCGTGCATCAAGAACTATCTCTGAGGTAGAAATTTCAAATAAGAGAAAGGCTTCATTGATCAACTTTACCTGCCTTGGGTTTATGGATTGAGTGAATGTGGAAGAACTTTATATGGGTTGAGTATCCCATTGGGGTCGAGCAGGTTCTTGATGGAAGTCATTAGTTGCACCTATCCAAACAGGTTTTGTGTTTAGGCACTCTATGTGCAGCAACCATGTCGTCTAAAGAGAACAAAACCAATGCAAGACATTTCTCTTTTGAATCCAGAAAATACTCACAGTTTTAGGTGATTTGCTGTAAAAGATCTTATTAGCTTTCATCAGTCCCAGGCCATGCTCTGCACTTATGCTCCCTCGGTGCTTAGATGTCCATTCATAGACATAGGGCTCAATCTGAGCCAAAATCTGTTACATCAACGAGAGATGATTAAATGTATGGAAGCAGTTCTTCCAAGTATGTAGAAGGAACATACCTTATCATCATACTTTGGAGCTGAAACATTAAGATGTAAATTTGCATCCCCTAGGTGCCCGTATGCAACAACTCTGGCCAAACCACCTGAAAAATGGACATACAGATATTTGAATAAAAGTTTCTCCATGACATACTAGATGACCACTATCGGTACAGGAAAACACCCAGAAAGCAGATATCATATATCAATGTAGAAAATTGACATACTTTGCATTGCAAAATGAGAAGGAAGAAAGATGTTAAATTTTGGAGTTAGTTAAATAAAAGTTGGCTCACCAAGTCTTGCTCGCATATCCTCCACAAGATTGTACATCTTTTCAACAGGTAATGATAAGTCATATTTGTAATTGGCCCCTGCTTTAATCAATGCTTCTGGCACACCCTGGAGCAATACAAAAAGAACTATGTTAATGCAGCAGAGATAACCAGGGACGGAAGCAGGATCATTCTCAGTAGCTTCTCATTTTAATTCTCATGAATACAGTTCAAATCACTTCAGAATTTGATAAAGCATATCCCAACAGTAAAAAAATTAACAATTATAAAGAATGGTATAAAAAACACATGGTGTTGAAAACAGATACCTCACGGATTCGCCAAAATGAGGATGCTTGGTTAATGTCTTGTGCAACTACACCATCAGATATTAAACCACCTTCCATTGAGCTTAGTAAGAAGGCCTCAAGTTTCTCCCTGCAGACATTCTTAGGAGTCAAAAGGATTTTTTATATCAGGATTAAGTCAGAAAGATATCATAGTGCACCAATAAAACAGAATGTCCTAGAGACTTCAGTGAGTCCAGAATAACTGAATCTGTCTGGTTATACTTTTCTGGGAATTATTGCAGATGTCAATTAAATTCAAGTTTGCAAGATTCTCACCCTTAGAATCATTAAAGAAAATAATGGAACCACATCAATTTGTTAGTACAACCAAACCGCCAGAAAGCTACTGAGCTTTAGTTCAAAAGTGTAGTTATGTTGGTTGGATTAAGGATGCTAAATAGAGAATTGGAGTTTCAGAAAATAATTCAATTGGGAAATGCACCATTAATGAAGTTATATTATTTGAGTGGCCTAATAACGAAAGGAAAAAGAAGAAAATCAACTTCCATTCAGGATCATGCAAAGGGGGATAAGATAGATCATAAAACCTAATAAAAAGCAAAATACAGGGAAAAAGAGTTTACTTCAATAAATAAATAAATAAAACAGAGAGAAATTACTTGTCATAAGATTCGTTACTGCCTGTTGTCTCAATCAGAACATAAAAATTGTGAATTGAAGCAGGCAATGGATTCCGAGCTCCTTCTAAGTGATTTAGAGCCTTAAAATTAAAACACAGAAAGTACGAATTAGATATATTAGAAAGATATCATAAAACAGTAACAGCATCCAGCTTCAACCATTCAGAATATATTTGCGTTGTTACAAATCAACAAATAAATTTTTTTTTTTTATTTTAAAAAAACATGACAGTAAATGGTTTAGCATCTATGATACTTGCTTCATGGTTCACAGAAAAAAAAAAAATCAAAGTTTGATACAGAAGGCTTACTAAATCCATTGCTTCGATATCCAAAAATTCAAAAGCAGATAGAATCTCCCCAAGTTTCCTTTTTGCCTCTTGTAAAAGTTTCTGATAAACAAGGCAAGTAATGAGCTAAGAAGGTGCAAAATTGTACCTTAAACAGATGAATAAGTGGTGAAAAGAAATCACAGAGAAGGAATAGCAACATAAATTTTTAAAATTTTGAAGATAAAATTAAAGTGCTGGAACATCCAATCACATCCATTAAATATGTGGGACATAGGGTCTCAACTATATCCCATCTATCATGTGGCTATTATTGGACGCTTGGAATTTTTTTATGCCAGGATGTCCTAGTTTTCTGTTTTCTCTTAAACACGGTTACAGTTGATGTAATGCTAGTCTTCTTTATAATGGTAAGACTAGAAATGCTGCGAATTGAAAAAGAGCTTATTAGCTTATTCCAAATTCATTGATAGAGGATATCTTTATCTTCTTATCCTAAATTGGCACATCTCTCCTTTGTACCTGTCTATATGTATTTAGTCCTTTTTCTGAAATTTATATAAAATGAGAAACATTTTGTCTTGTTTCTTTAAAGGATAGAAAAATGAAAGTTTTATCTATCTAACTAGGCAAGATCTTCAAGAAAGTATTCCAACAGAAAAAGTATGATCCAGTCAGTAAAGGCCTTTTCTTAATGGTAAAAATGCTATCAGTAATAATACAGAAATGCTCATTTATGCTGGGTTAGTATAAAAAAGAAATATTAAAGTGCAGAAGTGATGTCACCTGGCAGCTAAAATAATCTTTGCATGCAAGAAAAGCTATATTAACTGAGGATAGCTTAGGAGGAGTAAGTATAGAAACTTTAGTTACAATTCCCAGGGATCCTTCACTTCCTGTAGCAACAATAGAACAACATGAAATCACATACTTGGAAACGTATACTTGCAAATTGCAACTATTCTGTAAGTTTTATCTATTACATACCTATAAACAAATGCTTTAAGTCATATCCAGTGTTATCTTTACGTAAAGTGCCAAGCATATCTAGCACATCACCATTTGCTAAAACAGCTTCCAGACCTATTATATGGTGTCAACAAAAACACTGTAAGAGGAATGAAAGCGAAAATAAAAGGAATTATTGCCTACTTATATTAAGCATCAAATCCAATTAAAAAGAACAATCCTCACCAAGTACATTCCCATGAAGTGAACCATAGCGGACAAGGCGCAAACCACCAGCATTAGTTGAAACATTTCCACCAATCTGACAGCTCCCTTTTGCACCTAAGTCCAGTGGCATAACAAATCTGAATGGAAACATGTC